AGTCCCCATCGGAGGTGTCCAGGAACTTCTCCATGGCCGGGGGGTCCGGATGCACGAAGTCCTCGTTCAGGAGGGCGCCCAAGACCTCTTTAGGGTTTAGGGTTTAGGGCTTGGGGTTTGGGGTTTAGGGTATGGGGTATAGGGTTTTGGGTCTCAGTTCGTCCAAACTGGGGCGGATGCTGGGATTCCATGTGCAGATGGAAAGAAAGAACAGCAAGTTCACGTGCTTTTTGGCTTGGGGTAGGGCTTACGATGGGAAGCCGACGGCAAAGAACGATTTTTTGGAGGCCGGTGGTGTGTGCGATTCTTCCGGCACATCTTTGCAGCATCTGACGAGTTCATTTGTTCTTCTTTGTTCTTCCTTATTGGGTTAGGCACCCATAAGCATGTAGCATGATTTTTCAACAATGACCCAGCTATGAGTTTTTGAACCGAAGTCTGAGGCCCCCTTTTTTAAAGCAGCTGCCTTGCCGGTGGCCTTATCGAAGGCTACCACGGTGTGTCCTTCAGCAGCCATGTGCGGAAGGAACATCTCCGTGAAGCGGGTCCAGTCCCCCAGAGTGCAGGGGGGTCGGGCCGCGGCGGTCACGGGCTCCCCCTCGAAGAAAGCGCGAGCCACGGCCTCCAAAACGGCTGGGATATCCTCCGTCCCCATGATCCGATAGAGGACCTGATTCGCCGCGTCATCTTCAAGCTCCATCAGGAGTCTTCTGTGGCCCGGCCTTTCTTCAGCCTCCGTAGCGCGCGCGCGCTCCCCTGCCCCTGTCAGCCAAAGTGCTGCGCAGCAGCTGGGATTCCCAATAGCGCCCCAGCACTTCTACCGCCCAGCCCAAGTCCCCTCAACTGCTTAGATGGAGCCCTAAGCCCTTCTTGGACCCCGGTCTGCCCTGCAGTTGCGGGCATTGAGCACATGCGCTGTCAGTCGTAGCTCCTAAACCGTAAACCCTAAACCCCAAACCCCCAACCCCAAACCCTAAACCCTAAACCCCAAACCCTAAACCCTAGACCCTACACCCTAAACCCTAAACCCCAAACCCTAAACCCCAAACCCCAAACCCTAAACCCTAAACCCTAAACCCTCTCCTCTGGGGGCCCCGCCCACGCGGTAGCCCAGCAGGGGCAAGCGTCTCATGTCGTTCAGCTCGGAGGGCCGGCATGATTTAGGGTTTAGGGTTTAGGGTTTAGGGTTTAGGGTTTAGGGTTTAGGGGTTTAGGGGTTTAGGGGTTTAGGGGTTTAGGGGTTTAGGGGTTTAGGGGTTTAGGGGTTTAGGGGTTTAGGGGTTTAGGGGTTTAGGGGTTTAGGGGTTTAGGGGTTTAGGGGTTTAGGGGTTTAGGGGTTTAGGGGTTTAGGGGTTTAGGGGTTTAGGGGTTTAGGGGTTTAGGGGTTTAGGGGTTTAGGGGTTTAGGGGTTTAGGGGTTTAGGGGTTTAGGGGTTAGGGGTTCGGGTTAGTCTTGGAGTTCAGGGTTTTGGGTTTTGGGGTCCATGGGTGCTTAGAAGTAGGGTTGTTTTCAGTACGAAACTGTGGTCAGTATAACTAGGGCAGATATGGTTATAACCTCATCTAGGGCACTTATCACCCCACTGGTTATAAGTACCCATGGACCTTCAAGTAAAGGACAAAAAGAAGCCCATGGTGGAATTGTCTGGCGACCTGGGCGCTTTTCCTGTGTCTCAAGAGCCTCGACAGCAGTCTGAGACATTTGTGCACTGCGAACGAGCTTCATGAGATAGGAATGAGTAGGGTGATAAGGGTTTAGGGTTTAGGGTTTAGGGCTTAGAGAATAAGGTTCCAACCAGATGTCGCGGAAGCTTTTTGAAAACCTTGCATCGAACGGAGGGAGGCACGCGGCCGCGCCGAACTCCGACCTTCGGCGGAGCGGCGGGTCAGATGCGCAGAAAATCGGCATGGCTCTCCATGCCCCATTCCTTGTTCATGATTGGGATATTATTAAAATTTAGAATTTATATTCCCTGTTGGGTTTAAGTACCCTTAAAGATGTAAAATGTTACCCAAGTATGACAAAGATTCCTCCAGCGAGCCCTCAGGGTCGCCAGAATCTACTCCGAGTGCCTGCTCGGGATTCGACGAGGCCTTGGCTGACTTCTGAACCCTCCTAAGCGTTTCACTCTTAGGCCCCGTGTTGTGGTTTCCACAACATAAGCCCAGAAGGTTGAAGTCCTTTAAGAGCCAGCCAGAAGAAAGCCAAGAGACATCATCCAAGCTGAGCTGGACTAAGCTTGCCAGGTTCTCGAGCAAGTCGTCGTCGATGGAAGATGCATCCTCTTGCAAGTGGGTTTGAGGTTTAGGGTGTAGCTTTAGGGGGCTCTGGGTGCCTCCGAAACCTGGAAGCTACGAGCCGCGAGGTCACGAGAAACAGCACTTGTTAAGGCTCAACAAAGGGGCGGACCGTCACGAGGATTGCCTAACAAGCCCCACCCGGAAACTGCGGACACTTTCCTCTTAGGGTTTAGGGTTTAGGGTTTAGGGTTTAGGGTTTAGGGTTTAGGGTTTAGGGTTTAGGGCTTAGGGTTTAGGGTTTAGGGTTTAGGGTTTTGGGTTTCAACGCATACCCTGCAAGAGAGCGGGTATTCCCCAAAACGTGGGGAACTTCTGCACAAGCCCCCAACTGGATGTTGCTTTAAAGCTCTTTGAAAAATTTTTATGAATGTGAATAGGTTCCCTTAACGGGGAAAGAAGGGAAATTTAAACTTATCCCAAAGCAATACCCAGTCAAGCAATGAAATGTAATCCCTTTTTATGGGGACCCCAAAAAAGGGGTACCTTCCTTTTGACATCCGTGCAGGAGTCCCAGCTACCCCAAACCCGCAATTTTTAGATGGGTTTTGGGTTTAGGATTTAGGGCTTAGGGCTTAGGGCATAGGGGCGAGCCCGCAAAAAGTAAGTTTTGGGCTTGGGGCCTCGAAGGCTTCATACGAGTACGCGAAAAACACGACCGATGCCGCGTCAACCAAGGCGGGGGGGGGGGGGGGGGGGGCAAGCGCGGACGCTTTGCGAGCACCGGCTTAGGGTCATAATGTTTAGGGTGTAGGGTTTAAGATTCAAGGTTTGGTGTGAAAGGTTCAGGTAAAAATGTTTAGGGTGTAGGGAAAAATAAATTCAAGGTATAGAGTCCAAGGTTCAGACCCCCAAGCATTACACGAGAAACCCGTGTGCTGTGTGGGCATTCACGCTCGCAGGGCATTCCCTAAACCCCAAACCCCAAACCCCAAACCCTAACCCTAAACCCTAAACCCTGAACCCTAAACCCTAAACTGCACCAGGAACATGTCTCCATGGCGCCAGCTTGTACTTCTTACAGGGCTTATGGCTTATGGCCTATGGGTTGGGATGTTTCCGCTTATAAACAGGGATTCCAATCGGGGGTACTAGAATCCCCACTAAGGACGGTTAGCATAAGGGGAACATCCCAACTTATGGGGGCTTTCAGGGATGGTAGGGCGTTAAGGGTAAGGTTCAGAGAGGGTTTAGGGTTTAGGGTTTAGGGTTTAGGGTTTAGGGTTTAGGGTTTAGGGTTTAGGGTTTAGGGTTTAGGGTTTAGGGTTTAGTTAGGGTCTAGGGTTTAGGGTTTAGGGTTTAGGGTTTAGGGTTTAGGGTTTGGGGTTTGGGGTTTGGGGTTTAGGGTTTAGGGTTTAGGGTTTAGGGTTTGGGGTTTAGGGCTTAGGGTTTAGGGTTTAGGGTTTAGGGTTTAGGGTTTAGGGTCTAGGGTTTAGGGTTCAGGGTTTAGGGTTTTAGGGAGGTCAGAGGCCGGATAATGCTTCTGTGCCTCACCCTGACGACACAAGCTACACGCTTTTCACCAGACCTATGCAACGCCCGTCTTGCTACAGACCTCTGTCGCGCGCATGCACGACTGGAAGCCAAAAGGGGAAACTAGACAACAACAAGCAGGTCTGTCGCAAAACCCCGGGCGTTGGTTGATACATACCCTATGTAACGGGGTATGTCGCGTGTGTGGGCCACGACCCTGTTACAAGCAATTAATATTGGCACACGGCCATGTATATATATATATATATGTATAGATATATTATATATATGTATACAGATATATATATATATATATATATATTGGTTACGTAAGGCAATAACATTAAGGGTTTCTAGGGGTCCCTCCTTGTGCCCCTTAGAGATGGCCTCCACAAGGTCCATGACATTGATGTCCCCGAGAGCCTTCGAAAATATGGGGGGAGGAGGCAGCTCCCTAGACCCTAAACCCTAAACCCTAAACCCTAAACCCTAAACCCTAAACCCTAAACCCTAAACCCTAAACCCTAAACCCCAAACCCCAAACCCCAAACCCCAAACCCCAAACCCTAAACCCTAAACCCTAAACCCTAAACCCTAAACCCTAAACCCTACCCCGTCTCTGGATCAGGGTTCATGGCATCATCGGGACCCCCATATTCACTTAAGGGGTTTAGGGGTTTTAGGGGCTAGGGCTTCCTTCCACGGTTCCGCGGCCACGACAACAGAAACACAGCCTCGTCCTGATTTGCGTTCTCTCCGCGTTCGCCTGGCAAGTAGTCACTCAGATTTCCCCACTGTTGTAAGGGGGCTTCGGGTGTAGGAGCTTGCAGACGTTTAGGAGCTTGTTGCTTGCTTGTGCCCGCGTAGTACATGCGAAGCCTGGTCAAACCCTAAACCCTAAACCCTAAACCCGAAGTCCTCTGCCATTGAACTTGTCCGCAGGGCAGGATGAGAAGAAGGTGCTGTCCTGACCGGGTGACCAATCAAGCTGGAGGTTTGTGCCATGCTCCACTGCTTGGCGCGGTTCCCAGGGAAAAACCATACAAATCCTGAATCGCAGTCCCTAAGGCCCTAAACCCTAAACCCTAAACCTTTAAACTCTAAACCCCAAACCCCAAACCCTAAACCCTAAACCTTTAAACTCTAAACCCCAAACCACAAACCCTAAACCCTAAACCGTGCTGGATTGAGCTATCGCTGTCCGAAAGCATCATCCGCCCCGCCTCAATCCACCGATTCTCAGCACCTCAGCTCCGTTCAGTCGAAGGATTTAGGATTTAGGGTTTCGGGTTTAGGGTTTAGGGGTTAAAACTCGCAGAATCATGCAAACATCTGAAATCCTGCGGCAACCCTCAACCCTAAACCCTAAACATTAAACCCTAAACCCTAAACCCAACCCTAAACCCTAAACCCTAAACCCTAAACCCTAAACATTAAACCCTAACCCCCAACGCCATAAAAAGTGCGCAGCCGGCCTTCTCTGACACGCCGACTGCAGGCTAAGGCCACCGTCGCAGCAAGCCCTGGGAGCTGAAAAGCCGTTCAAAAAGGGTTCCTTCTGTGGATTCAGGGTTTAGGGTTAAGGGTTTAGGGTTTAGGGTTTAGGGTTTCGGGTTTCGGGTTTCGGGTTTCGGGTTTATTGTTTAGGGGTTAGGGTTTAGTTAGGGTTTAGGGTTTACGGTCTTTGGGGGGGCCGGGGCGGGGGGGGGGGGGGCGGGGGGGGGCGGGGGGGGCGGGGGGGGGGGGGGGGGGGGGGGGGGGGGGGGGGGGGGGGGGGTGGATATCCACGATCATCGCCCAACCCCGCCAGGCCTAGCAGCACCGCCACCGACAGCGGCACGAGAACCAGGTCCTTGAACACATCCCAGAACTTCGGTTTAGGGGTTGTGCAGCTCATGCGAGCTTCCCTTGACCCCCTTCCTAATCTGCCCAGCTGCGCCTCAACTCTTCCTCTGCCAACCTCGTTACGTGGATGGACCCTGCAAGGTTACGAAGGGAACCTAAGAATTACCCACAAAGGGTCACTGCTAGGCGACCATATCGTGTTGGTGTTCGAAATGGTTAGCTAAGACTGAGGGCCTGTTGGAGTAATCAAGTGGATTCGCATGGCCCCTTAAGTCAGTTGACCTCTACAAATTTAGAAATTTGCAAAGCCCAGAGGGTTTGGGGTGTGGGGCTGAGGGTGTAAATGATTCGATGATCTTACATAACAATGTGCTTCTAGATATTCCGATTCTTGGCCTAAACCCAAAACCCTAAACCCTGAACCCTCAACCCTAAACCCTGAAGTATATCGATTCTTGGCCACACGGTCCTGTACCAGGGCATAGGCCATGGCTTCCAGCCAGTCTAAGCCATCTTGCGGGGTAACGTTGGCGAGGAAGAGCAGGCAGTAGAAGAGGCAGCAGCCAGCATAGGCCACAGAGAGCACCTTAGGATGTTGCTTAAGGAAACCAGGTTTAGGGCTTAGGGCTTAGGGTTTAAGGTTTAGGGTTTAGGGTTTAGGGTTTAGGGTTTCGGGTTTCGGGTTTCGGGTTTCGGGTTTAGGGTTTAGGGTTTAGGGTTTCGGGTTTAGGGTTTAGGGTTGTATTTGATGCCGCTGCCCCAGACTCCATACGAGGCACCCAGAAGCAAAGGCTTCTCAGTCGCCATACGCACCGCTGTCTTGCCATCTTCCGATCTGTCCACGACTCCTCCCACAAGAGCTACGGTGTGTGATTAGGTTGCCCAAACAGAGAAGGGCCCTGTGTAGTTGGCTTTGAAACCCTCCTTCAGGTTTGGGTTACCCAAACAGAGAAGGCCTCTGTGTAGTTGGTTTTGAAACCCTCCTTCAGGTTTAGGTTACCCAAACAGAGAGGGCCTCTGTGTAGTTGGTTTTGAAACCCTCCTCCCCTTTTTAAAGCCTTCAGGGTACAGGAACTGGTATGGGATGTCCCATGTACAGCGTTTGCGTCCTTTCGAACCGTTCTCCGCCACTGCACAAGGAAGAGGAAGAGAATCACAGCATCGCCAACGAACCTCAATTGTTTGTGGGTTCGGATAGCGAAGACCGTGGGGAAGATCCAGAACAAGACTAGATTGAAACCAAAGAGCACTCTTTCGGGGAAGCTTGTGGCACTTTAGGGATTTGGCGTGCTCGTCGTTAAGCTAGGTTCGCATCACAGGTCTTCCGGACTCTTGTGGAAACTGGACAATTCTTCACGAACTGAACATAGAAACAACCACGAGGGCTCAGGGTTGAGGGGAGGTGCAAGGAGACGACGCTGATCCAGAATTTCCGCATCAGCTTGGAAATCAAGTCGTCCGCCACGCTGCAGCCTCAATTATTGCTATTCGGAACCAAACCCGCGCAAGCGGGACCCACAGCTTCTTGAAAGGGCTCTCACGCACTTCGAGGACGCATCTTTTGACTGCCCAGCCCAGCACACCAGTGCAGACCAAAAGTGCTGCTGTCAGTCACTGTTGGCTACTACACTAGCTACTAATGACACAGACAACGCATTTGTCGAACCGGACTCCATGAGGTTAGGGACGCTACTTACGGAGGGCTGTTGTGCTGTTCCTCTTTAACATTAAAGTAGCTAACCCCAGAGTCCACTAAGGCACACTCGCGGTCCCAAGGGGCGGGAGTCGTTGTCATCCAGCTGTGCGTCGGTGCTGAAGAAAAGGGCGGCCACAGTTCCTCGGGATTCTGTTGTTGAAACTTCTGCCCACAGGAGCTCAAAGATATTGAAGCGTCGGATGCTGCGTCGCGCTTCGCGCGCCCATCCGCGAACCCTGGCAAGTAAGTGCCGCGCCGGCACCCGCCAACTTCAGGATGAGAAGTGCCGTGCGCACGGAGGCGCGCACGAAGGCGCAGTATCCTCGGCTCAGAGAGGTGGTGGTGGTGGAGGTCACGCACGGAAAACCCAGAACCGAACACGCCAAGATACATCCTGAACCCTAAACCCATGAATTCGTATGCAATCTGACTGAGATGTTGGGCAAGAGTTATAAGGGGATCATACTGTCGACATTTTCGGCTCCTGTGTTACCTCCAACCCCAAACCCTAAACCCTAAACCCGAAACCCTAAACCCTAAACCCTAAACCCTAAACCCTAAACCCCCCCCCCCAAAAAAAAAAAAAAAAAATCCTACGATGCAGCGAGCGATCAGCACTCAGGCCGAGTCTCTGAGTGGCGCCAACCAAGGGTGTTTGGCCGGGAGCCTCGAGAAACCCAACCTCCCACATTCTACGGCGGCTTAGGGTTCATATAGGGTTTAGGGTTCAGGGTTTAGGGTTTAGGGTTTAGGGTTTCGGGTGTTCCGGGTTTCGGGTTTAGGGTTTAGGGTTTAGGGTTTAGGGCTTAGCATTAGGGTTTAGGGTCGAGGGTTTAGGGTTTAGGGCTTCGGTTTAGGGGGCGTGTTTGGCCCAGCAAGGTCAACCAGTTGCCCCTCCCTGGTTGAGCGATGGGCTGATCTCTGCACAACACGGCGAATTCTCAACACACACGTTGGCTCTGGGCGCCGGAGCTTCCGTCTCCCACATTTCGGGACGTGGGTTCCCCCCCCCACCCCTATCCCCCCCGCCTACATCTTAAACCCGAAGCTCTCAACTCTCAGCCCTAAACTTGGGATGTTCCCCCTTTTTCTAACAGTCCTTAATGGGGGGTTGTAATAGGGTACCATGATCCCTATTGAGGACTGTTACCCCCAAACCCTAAACCCTAAACCCTAAACCCTAAACCCTAAACCCTAAACCCTAAACCCTGAACCCTGAACCCTAAACCCTAAACCCTAAACCCTAAACCTCTCTATCATAATGAATTTAAACCCTAATTCAAAAGTGGGCAACGGTGATTTTCGGCCTCACAAGTGGGCAACGGTGACTTTTTCGGCCTCAAAAGTGGGCAACGGTGATTTTCCGGGCCTCAAAAGTGGGCAACGGTGACTTTCCGGGCCCCAAAAGTGGGCAACGGTGACTTTCCGGGCCTCAAAAGTGGGCAACGGTGATTTTCCGGGCCTCAAAAGTGGGCAACGGTGACTTTCTGGGCCTCAAAAGTGGGCAACGGTGATTTTCCGGGCCTCAAAAGTGGGCAACGGTGACTTTTTCGGCCTCAAAAGTGGGCTTTCCGGGCCTCAAAAGTGGGCAACAGTGACTTTCCGGGCCTCAAAAGTGGGCAACGGTGACTTTCGGCCTCAAAAATGGGCAACGGTGAATTTCCTTTTCCCTGAGTTTTTTCAAGGTTTTTCAGAGGTTTTTAATGTTTTTCAAGGTTTTTCAATGTTTTTCAGGATGTTTCAGGGCTTTTAACCCTCAATTCTGATGAAGGGCCGCCCCCGCGAGCTTTTCACAGCCTAGTTTTGGTCAAGGGGGGGTTGTATTTGTCAATTTTAAAGGCAAAATAGTCTTCGGAGACCCCCCCTTGCCTCAAACTCCGACCCCCCCTTGAGAGGGAAAGTTTGCCTCCAAAAACACCTTAAAAATGCGATTTTTCAGTACCGAAATCGACGGTTCTGGGTGGCCTCGTTTTCTGGGTTTTTGACCACGAGCCTTCACCGATAGGGGCTTCTAATCCGTAGGGTTTAGGGCCCTAAGAGCATAAAGGGCCTGTTGTGGGCCTTAGATTAGGTTTCGGGTTTTGGGTCCGTTAAAAGCTAACTACTGGGAATGTATTGAGTGAACTTTGCATTTTCTAAACCCAAAAAGCTCTCGATCCGAACTACACGAACCTTCAACGGGCTTTCTAGATCGGGCCCAGCCAACGTGCAGCGTCTACAAGTGATTAGGGTACAGCAGGGTTTAGGGTTTAGGGTTTAGGGTTTAGGGTGCTGCGTTTTGGGTTTTGGGTTTTGGGTTTTGGGTATGGGTTTGGGGTTTAGGGTTCAGCATCTCAAGTCCAAGCACTCACTAGTCAAGAAATGAGTCCAGAAAAATACCCACCCGCCCAAAGAATCCGGCGTGCAATCTTGGGGGAACCATGTAGAGGAAGTCCATCTTTAGAGGGTATGGTATTGAGCAGTGTGCGTACAGGCATCCACAACGAGCCGACCCTCACAGGGTTCGGGACGCGAGTGAGACAAGCGCTCGCTGACGCCCGCTACAGATTGTGGGCTGGGTGGGCTCGGCTTTGAGCTTAGGGCTTAGGGCTTAGGGCTTAGGGCGTAGGGCTTAGGGCTTAGGGCTTAGAGCTTAGGGCTCAGGGCTTAGGGCCTAGGGCTTAGGGCTTAGGGCTTAGGGTTTAGGGTTTAGGGTTTCGGGTTTAGGGTTTAGGGTAGAGGGTTTAGGGTTTAGGGTATAGGGTATAGGGTTTAGGGTTTAGGGTTTAGGGTTTTAGGGGCTTGCGGGTTTCGGGGTATCTTAAATGTTTGAATAGAAGGATGAAATTACACAAGCCTGACAAGTGCAACCCAACGACAGCAGCCGGACCCGCACGTGCCAAGGGCCTTGCACCAGGTCAACAAGTCCATGCTAAGGGATGCGAGGTGCGGTCCGTATACGTGCAGAACATGTCTCGACAAAGGGCCTTGCACGAACTCCTCCACGCTGGAGAAGCCAGTTCCTTTGTTCCCATGAGAAGTTTCGGAATGCAGGGGAGAAGCAACCTGCCGCATCCAAATGTGAAACGGACTGGCGAAAAGGAGATCTTATGTTCAGCTCGCCCCCAAACCCTGAATCCTTCTCACGTCGCGACTTCACGGCCTTCCACCAAAGAAAGGGCCCCCTCCCATGATCTGAGGGGGCTTGACAGGTAAATAGGGGGAGTACACAGCTGACGTGGTTGCCATGCAGAGTGAACCGTCGATGCAGGGCCGAGAACATCTAGAACATCTGGCGCTGGGGTTTAGGGTTTAGGATTTAGGGTTTAGGGTTTAGGGTTTAGGGTTTAGGGTTTAGGATTTAGGGTTTAGGGTCTAGGGTTTAGGGTTTAGGGTTTAGGGTTTAGGGTTTAGGGTTTAGGGTTTAGGGTTTAGGGTTTGCTGTTTGCTCCGAGAAGGCCCAGCAAGAACACGCTGGCGCGGACGTTTGTTTGACGAGTCTGATGCATGGTCCACCCGTTCTTGGCAAGGGGCCATGGATGTCCAGGTTGTGCGACGCCGTGCCAGTCCTGCCCAGTATCTCCATGGCGTCTCTGGTCTGGGATCGCCGAAGCTTGCCGCTCCCGTGGCGGAGAAGGGCACGCAGGCTCTGCTTCTCCACTCGGCTCCTGTCTTCAGCGCAAAAAGAGCAGAGAAAGCCCCGTGTCGTTCGGAGTCTACACCTCCTGTTGTGCACACAGGTGACCCTCGGGGCCCGGCTCAGTATTACGATTAGCAGGCAGCAAGAGCGAAGTATGAGTAACCAGAGGAGCAAAAAATAGCGGTAAGAGTACTCGCAACAAGAAATACTAGAACAATGAGACTATTCTTGGAGCCGCAATGGCAAGAAGCAGTCGGCCCGGTCACCTTCCCAGCCTTCTACCCAAACCCTAAACCCTAAACCCTAAACCCTTAACCCCAAACCCTAAACCCCAAGGGTCCTGTGCGAATGTATGGCCTCGATGCAGTGGTTGACCAGAGTCTTGCCGACAAATGCACCCAAGCTGCCCACCCTAAGGAGGGTCCCCGCCAGAAGGCGGCATTGGCTCAGAAGCCATCCTAGGGCACTCGCAGACTAGCAGCATTCCCAAAAAAAAACGAACCCCCCAAAACTCCAAAGCCCTAAACTCTGATAACACAGCCCTTTAAACGACCTCAACCCTACTCCCTTCTCTGCGAGATGTCCTCCGGAAGGGCACCAGGCACCAACATCCTCGAAAACAACACGACAGAGGCCCCGAGAATCCGATAGGGGCTTAGGGGCTTAGGGGCTTAGGGGCTTAGGGCGTAGGGGCTAGGGCTGAGGGCTGAGGGCTGAGGGCTGAGGGCTTAGGGCTTAGGATTTAAGGAGGAGCCCGACTGTTCAGTCCCCAAACAGCACAACCCGAGCAAAGCAAGACCCCCTGGTTCTTAGCCCTATAAAGCCCCTTTCGGGATAGAGGGTACCTCCTTCCCGCATTCCCTACTAAGAACCAGGGGGAAAAACATGGCCAAGGGTCCTTCAGGCTTTCTTGCGTGTGGAAGTGCAGGGCATGCCGGTCTTCCTCGGCAATCGCCTTCTGAGCCTTCCAGTCTTGTCGGTGGGCGGCGCACAAGGCCAGCAGGGACCTGGGAAGCCAAACCCAATCAGAGGATGCCCCTTGGCCCCTACAACCTTCCACCACTCCAAACGCAAAGTCTCTAAAGAGCTGCAGGTGTTGGGGCCATTTTTTGGGGGGTCCTTTGGAGAGGGGGCCAGAGAGAACGAACCCCCATGCGGTCCAGGCGCAACCCCACGAAGCAAAAGACGACGATGGTCGCAGCACGGGTGAGCCACTCCGTCCTGCACGCAGAGAGTGCAGCATCCATGTTTTTACCGCACGCCCGGCTCCCCGTGCTCCTGGCACGGCACCTGAAGAGAAGTTTCGAATAAGCGCTGGGAGGCCTATGCTGGCTCATCTCACGACCCTGCAACAGGCCTTGCCATCCGGCGCAGCCCCGTCTCCGTGGCTATTTGGGCGAAGGTGCTGCAACTCAGCGCTTGCAGGATGCCGGCAAACATGGGTGCCAACTGGTCAGTCTCGAAGGCGAGGATGGTGTCGACAGTTTCTCGGAGTCGACGTTCAGGCGCCGCAAGGTTTCGGACGCCCTCGGTGGACCACCGGGCAGCCTCCTCGTCCCAGTAAGCACCCACCGCCGCGGCGTCCGTGGCCTCGGCACTCTCAGAGGCTTGACTCTCAAGTCCTTGAGCTAAACCCTAAACCCTAAACCCTAAACCCTAAACCCTAAACCCTAAACCCTAAACCCTAAACCCTAAACCCTAAACCCTAAACCCTAAACCCTAAACCCTAAACCCTAAACCCTAAACCCTAAACCCTAAACCCTAAACCCTAAACCCTAAACCCTAAACCCTAACCGCCTTAGTAGCCCTCTTAAGACCCAGAAATTGGATGGCGCCTCGAGGCGCAGGACCAGCGGGGTCTGCAGCTTGCGCCCTGCGGCTCAGGGATGCGCAGGGCGTGCCAACGAAAACATGAATAGGGTTTACGGTTTAGGGTTTAGGGTTTAGGGTTTACGGTTTAGGGTTTTGGGTTTAGGGTTTAGGGTTTTAGAGTTGAGATTTTAGGGTTTTAGAGTTGAGATTTTAGGGTTTAGGGTGCAGGATGGTGTAGGGTTACTGTCCACACCTCTGTTGCTTGTGATTGGCGATTGGTACTCATGCCTCACCTACTGGTAGCAACCGGTGTTGCTGTTGCTGGTCAAGCTCCGCATCGCTTTCTCTGGAACGCGCGCCCACTTGTACCAAAAGCCCCTAAACCCTAAGCCCTAAGCCCTAAGCCCTAAGCCCTAAGCCCTAAGCCCTAAGCCCTAAACCCTAAACCCTAAACCCTATGTACCCTTTGGTCTGCTCCCTGAGCAAGATTCCCATTCAGAACTGCGGTCGGACCCAACAAGGGACTACCAACTTGGTAGCCCAGTAACCATATCATCAATAAGGGCACCCTTTTTGGGGGTTGGTTACTTCGGGCTTAGGGTTTAGGGTTTGGGGCTTAGGGTTTAGGGTTCAGGATTTAGGGTTTAGGGTTTAGGGTTTGGGGCTTAGGGTTTAGGGCTTAGGGTTTAGGGTTTAGGGTTTAGGGTTTAGGGTTTATAAAGGGAACCTTAAACCAACAAAAAAGGGGGAAAGGGTAGCCGCTGGGCTACCAAGGGAGGCAGCATGAGGCGACTCACGGACTTCGAGGTGGAGCTCCAAGTTTGATCTGCTCAGTGCCCCTTGCTTTCTGTGCGGGGCGAGGGGCGGGACACCCGCATCCCTCTCGGCTCTCTCTCTCTCTCTCTCTTTCTCTCTCTCTCGCTTCCTTGCTTGCTTGCTTGCTTGCTAGGCGTATGACCCCCCCCCCCCCCAGGAAGGGAGCCGCCCCAAGGGGCACGCACGACAGAGCTAGCCGAAGTGAGAAAGGTGCTTGTGGGTTTTGGCATCTCTCTCTCTCTCTCTCCCTCTCCCCTTCTCGCTCCATACCCCTTCTTCGGATTCTCCTGGCCCGTGTCTGTGATGCTACCCCCGACATTCGTCTAAGAGGTCCCTAAACGATGGATCGCACATACAACGGGGGGGGTGGGGCGGTGTTCCAAGTTCGCCGTGGCCCCGGCCGCATGTGTTCGGAGATTCTGGAGCCTGAAAACAATTTTTTGGGTGTTTAGCCCCCCGCCCCCGCGACAATCGACACACAGCATCAACACCTCCCTGCACAATCTCTGGCGCATTCAGCTTCGCTCTTCGTCTTTCCCCAACTCTTCGCGCCGCCCACAATCCCGCCCCCTGACAAGCAGCTCTTCTCTCCTCTATGCTCACCTCCACTTCGATGGTTTCTTCGATGCAAGAGGGCAGCCAGAAACTGCAAAGAGCTGCGAAAGGGTTTAGGGTTAAGGGTTTAGGGTTAAGGGGTTAGGGTTTAGGGGTTAGGTTTGGGGTCAGGGTTTAGGGTTTAGGGTTTAGGGTTTAAGCCCCGGCCCTCCCCCCCCCCGCTGCCTATTTCCAGGGCTTTGCCGTCGACTCCGCGCAGGCTGAAGATCAGGGGCTTGGATGCGAGCTTGATTGGGGCGTCTGCCCCTGGCTCGCCAAGCCCGAAGTCGTATTTATTATGTGTATCTGTATATGTATATGTTTCTGTATATGTATACGTATGCGTATACGTATATGTCTATGTCTATGTGTACATGTGTATGTGTATGTATATGTATACGTATACGTATACGTATGCGTATACGTATATGTATATGTTATATGTTATCTGTTATGTGTTATATGTTATATGTTATATGTTATATGTTATATGTTATATGTTATATGTGATATGTTATATTTATATGTATATGAATTTCAATCTATATATATATAACAATTAATGAAAATATGTGTACATATACATACATACATACATACATACATACATACATACATACATACATACATACATACATACATACATACATACATACATACATACATACATACACACAAACACACATACATACATACATACATACATACATACATACATACATACATACATACATACATACATACATACATACATACATACATTCCTACATACATACACATATATATATATATATGATATGATATGATATGATATCAACAGTTAGATCGCCGGCGTCTAGGCCCATTGAGCTACCAGTTCCAAATATGCGGAAGACGTTTTTGCAGACCGGCCTTCGGCGTCTCCCGGGCCGGGTAAGTTGCTGAACTTTGCGGCAACGTCCTCACAGCGCAAGGCTCGGACACTCCCAAACCCTAAATCCTAAACCCTCCTAAACCCTAAACCCTAAACCCTGAACCCTGAACCCTAAACCCTGAACCCTAAACCCTAATAAACCTTACACCCTGCATAAACCAAACCCCACCAACAAGGAACCCACCGAGAAGGGACAGTGCGGCGCCTCGGTCGCGAGGGTGATGCTGAGCAAGACCGGAGACCCATCCGAGATTTCTGCCAGCAAGTCGGCTGGAACCTCGAAACAAGGCGAGCTTCCGAGCCCCCTGCCACACATGTGTGACGCGCACACGCGTCTGTGAGGCGGAGCCCAACCTGCCTCTACGCTGGCAGATGAGTTCTCGTCTGCGGCGCTGATTGCCACGCTGTCTGCAGCCATGGTCGGAGAAAGGGCTACCACCTGAACAACCACAGCTACAGCTATTTGTGTCGCAAGCGCGTGCCTACAAAAATCTCCCCCCCCCCCCCCCCCCCCCCCCCCCCCCCCCCCCCCCCCCCCCCGCACCCCACACCCCCCCCCCTTGCATCCCCCCCTTTCCGGGCCCTTATTGTGGATTCCCGCCTTGACGGTGCCGACCTCTGTCGACAGGGAGAACTCGGCCAAAAGGCCGCTTTCGTTGCTTGCGTTGGAATCCGACAGGTTCAGCGCATTCAGCTGCGTCCAAGTTTTCAGGATCTCCCGTACCGCCGCCTTGGCTTAGAGGCCGTCTTCGGAGTGTAGGGTCATCCTTGTGTTTGAGATTTTCCCGAACATCTCATGTCAAGGTCGTATAAGTGCATATGCTCCTACAAGATCTGAGAGAGTATGTCATGCTGGTAGTTGTTGCGTTGTGCAGCTTGGCTTAGGGTAGGCCGGGGGGGAGAGGGGGGGATGTGTAGGGCTCAGGGCCTTCTTCCCTAAAAACAAGTGGAGGCTTAGGCCTCCTGGGTTTAGGGTTTAGGGTTTAGGGTTTAGGGTTTAGGGTTTAGGGTTTAGGGTTTAGGGTTTAGGGTTTAGGGTTAGGGTTGAGGGTTGAGGGTTTAGGGTTGAGGGTTGAGGGTTGAGGGTTTAGGGTTTAGGGTTTAGGGTTTAGGGTTTAGGGTTTAGGGTTTAGGGTTTAGGGTTTAGGGTTTAGGGTTTAGGGTTTAGGGTTTAGGGTTTAGGGTTTAGGGTTTAGGGTTTAGGGTTTTAGGCTCCTCGCAACTAAGAATCCTCGGACCCCTCCTCCACGAGCCTCACAGCAGCCGAAGCCTCTCCAGATGCACTCGTGGACTACCGAGACAGCGGGAGAAAACACAGGAAATCCTTGGGCTTGTTTCCGTTCGGAGCCTGAATTCATGAAGCCTTCAACCCTAAATGCCTGTAAACCCTACAAACCCTAAACCCGAAAAAACTCAAGTCGTTTGGCGCTCCTACCGGTGCAGGTTGGAGCCCACGGGGGGGCCCAGCATGATACGTTCTCTTAATATGCCCTTACATGATCTCACGTGGCACCAGTATGCTGTCTTTTATGATCGGTACATGATTGATCCACCACGGCTCCGGCTCCCTTCACGTCCCCCGAAGACTGCTGCCCTGCCCCCCCACCCCCCACCTCCCTGCCCCTACTACCCCCCGCTACCCTCCCCTTGCAGATGCTTCAAGAATCCAGGACACAAAGTGCGAGTACCTCACTCCCCCACCCCCCAAAAGCCCGACCAGTTCACAGCAACCCAAGGAGCCGAAAACAACATTCACGTTAAGATACCCAACGCCCTGCGAGGGTTCGGGAAAGTTTGGAGCTTAAGGCAGTTTAGGGGTCCGGGGATAGGCTTGGGCTGGGTCAGGGTGGCCCCTGCCCCGCGCCGCACTTCGCACATTACGAAGCCCCCTTCTCAGCTGCGCAGGCCTCCTGGGCGCCCTGTCACAGCGAACCCCCAAAAACCCCCTGCAACCGGCCTCCTGCTGTCTCTGCTGCATGAGTCTCTCCTCCGAAGCAAAGACTCAGGGAGTGGGGAGACCGACTTTGGGAGCGTATGTGACGATGTCCTTCCTTCAAAGGGGTCTCAGAACCCTACTTATAATCCTGATTCGCATACCCATGATAATTCAATAGTAATTCACAGCACTCCGGAAGCAGTCCTCATCTCCACCCGTGAAGGTGATGGTGGTGCTAGTCAGGGTGGCGCTGGAGGTAGTGGAAGTCGAGCTGGAAGAAGCGGTGCTCGATGTGCTGCTGCTGGAGCTGCTCGAAGTGCTTGTTGACGACATTGACGTGCTGGTTGTCGTCGAAGATGTGTCTGTGGAGGAGCTGCTGGAAGTGCTTGTGGAGGTTGCGGAGGTGCTGCTGCTGGAGCTGCTGGAAGTGCTTGTGGAGGACTTTGACGTGCTGGTTGTCGTTGAGGATGTAACTGTGGAGGAGCTGCTGGAAGTGCTCGTGGACGTTGTTGATGTGCTGGTTGTCGTTGAGGACGTGCTTGTGGATGAGCTGCTAGACGTGCTTGTGGAAGACGTTGACGTGCTGGTTGTCGTCGAGGAGGTACTTGTGGACGAGCTGCTGGAAGTGCTCGTAGGTGTTGTACTTGTGCTGCTGCTGGAGCTGCTAGAACTGCTTGTGGATGACGTTGTGGAGGAGCTGCTGGAAGTGCTCGTAGATGTCGTAGTTGTGCTGCTGCTGGAGCTGCTAGAAGTGCTCGTGGATGACGTTGATGTGCTGGTTGTTGTGGAGGAGCTGCTGGAAGTGCTCGTAGATGTCGTAGTTGTGCTGCTGCTGGAGCTACTAGAAGTGCTCGTGGATGACGTTGATGTGCTGGTTGTTGTGGAAGAGCTGCTGGAAGTGCTGGTAGACGTCGTAGTTGTGCTGCTGCTGGAGCTGCTAGAAGTGCTCGTGGATGATGTTGATGCGCTGGTAGTTGTTGAGGAGCTGCTGGTAGCGCTCGTAGATGTTGTACTTGCGCTGCTGCTGGAGGTACTAGAGATGCTTGTGGACGACGTGGTCATGCTCGTCGCGCTCGTGGTTTGCGTGGTGGTGCCTTGGTTTTCGCCACAACGCTAGCTCCCTGAACCCCTCAAGCCTCCCCTTTCTCCGCCAGCCCACCCATGACCTCTAAACTGGTCTTCGATCAGGCGGCTGCTGCGGCTGGCAGAGCTGGAGGTGCTAGTTACACTTGTGGTGGTCGGAGGTGGGGCATCGCAGCAGAGCGACGTGCTTGGCACATCATCAACTGCGTAAAGAGTTGATGGATTGGCCTTTTGCGTGTACCCCGATGGGCACGTGTATGAGGCACACGTGAAGTAGATGCCAGCATGGCCGCCGGTTTCATCACATGTTGTAAGCTGCGTGTCGTATTGATGCAGCCAGATGGACCCTGGCCGATAGTTGTCCCAAAAGTCGTAGAGGCCATATGCATCGACGCCGTTGGCATGAAAGGACGTCAAGGAGCTCGCGCAATTACCGTCCGCATACACGTCCATGTAGGTCCCGGCAGCCAGGTCGACGCGACCCAAGTATGGATTGCTCCTAGGATGGCCCCCCTTTTAAAACCTCTGCAAGGTGTTTTGCTGTAGTGTTACTATGATCCTCTTAAACCCAAAGAAGGGAAAGTACAAAAATATGCAAACTGTTTTACTACAGTGTTAAACTCTGATCCTCTTAAACCCAAAGAAGGGGAAGTACAAAAAACATCCCCGGAATTTACCTAAGGACCTAGCGTCTGATACGTAAGGCAGGGAGAGCCGTCGGCACACAGCAAGCCGCTGACCGGTTGGCAACTCTGATAGAAGCTGCACTGGGTCACCTGAAAGGTGCGATGCACGTAGTTCCCTTCCTCCAAGGTCGGCTGACAGAGTAAGGTTCCTTCGTCGTCCAGAAAGCAGATTCGAATAAGGGCAAGGGGGAACCCAGAAACCGAGAAGGGCAAAAGGGCACCATTAGGGCTGCCCAGGGTTCTGTATTGGCTGGTAGAACATCCCGCCCCAAATGGAGGGATCAAAGACAGCAGCAGGGCCAAAGGAATGTCCATGTGGGAAGATTTCGAGCTGTCTTGGTCTGCATACCTGTAGTGTTCTGCACGGGGAATGGAAGGGGAAGGATGTGATAGGAACATCTTGTTGCGAAGGGCGTTGGCTTCGAACAGTGAACAGCTCAGCGCAACTGGAGCGCAGCCGATCTCTCGGGGGCAGACATAGGGTGTAGGGTTTAGGGTTTAGGGATCAGAGTTTAGGGTTTAGGGTTTTGGATTTAGGGTTAGGGTTTAGGGTTTAGGATCTCTCTTGTCCTGGATATTCGATGCAGATAAGAGAAGGTTTCACCTTCTCAGATCTTATCAGCCTTCATGAGCAGTTTGAGCTGCGAGGATTTCAGGGAAGGGGTCTGTCATGGACACGGAATGCTTTCGAGACCAAGCCACTCAAGCGGTGAAGACTTGGGCCTTGGGTTTGGGGTTTAGGGTCTAGGGTTTAGGGTTTAGGGTTGAGGGTTTAGGGTTGAGGGTTTAGGGTTTAGGGTTTAGGGTTTAGGGTTTAGGGTTTAGGGTTTAGGGTTTAGGGTTTAGGGTTTAGGGTTTAGGGTTTAGGGTTTAGGGTTTAGGGTTTGGGGTTTAAGGTTTAGGGTTTAGGCTTTAGGCTTTAGGCTTTAGGCTTTAGGCTTTAGGCTTTAGGCTTTAGGCTTTAGGCTATAGGCTTTAGGCTTTAGGCTTTAGGCTTTAGGCTTTAGGCTTTAGGCATTGGGCTTTGGGCTTTAGGCTTTAGGCTTTAGGCTTTAGGCTTTAGGCTTTAGGCTTTAGGCTATAGGCTTTAGGCTTCAGGCTTCAGGTTTCAGGCTTTAGGCTTTAGGCTTTAGGCTTTAGGCTTTAGGCTATAGGCTTTAGGCTTTAGGCTTTAGGCTTTAGGCTTTAGGCTTTAGGCTTTAGGCTTTAGGCTTTAGGCTTTAGGCTTTA